GGCACCTGTGGGGGAACTAATGGGCCTTAATTGTCCTAAGCAGCCTCACCTGGGACCTCCCACTCTTGAGCTGCATTAAGCTCAAGCCTGGAGCTCCACTGTTGTTTTGAGCAATCTTGTAGGTGTTTCTGTTTTGGCCTTGCCTCTAGCCCTGTCTTCTAGGCATATATTGTAGCCTTATTATTTAGTCCTGATTTTGGCCCCATCTTCTGACCAGGTGGATACTGGACTTGGTGGATGGCTTGCTCTGTGGATGGACTGTGTTACCAACACCTGGCTCTGCTCTGCTCAGGTACTATACCTGTTAGTGAGGGCGTGGGGTGACTCTTAGATACCAGCTAGTCACCCCTCATGGAGCAACCCCACGCATGCTGTTTCCTGATATCACATATGAAGGGCAGAAGTATCCTTCTGCTGACCAAAAAAGCACATTAAGAAAGGCCCTAACCTCATTTTACACGTGTAGCAGTACCTGCAATCTAGTTGTTACTGCTCATAGAAGAGATCTGGCTGTTAAAAGAGCATCTACCTGTACTCAGCAGCAGTCAGAAAAGCAGCTGAAGTATCAATGGTAAGAAGATCAGTAACAGGATGGAAACCATCACAGCCCCAGTGTTGAGTGCAGAGGGTGTTTAATAGTTCCTCAGTTGAAATATGGATGCAGAGCTGGAAAAGGATGAGAAAGGGCTTGTTGCAATGACCTAGAGGAGGGATGCAAGGGGGATGTGGAGGGCTGGGGTGATGCTGGGGGCAGCTGGCAGTAGGGCCTGTGCTACGGGGGAGCTGGCAGAGGCAGCAGCTTTTCTGGAGGGATCCTTGGGGGTAATCGGGTAAGAGGCTTTTATGGCATAGTGCCAAGTGCTGTGCCCAGAGCTGTGTAAGGAGAGGGTTAGAAATGTGAATTTTATAACTGGGGGGCTATAAATGAGAACAGCCCTGATGATGATGAAATGGGACTGTCGAGTGGCCAAAAACCTGGTTTAAGCTGCCTTCAACTGCCACTGGCTGCTGGCTTGGATAGGGAGGTCCAGTGTTGCTGGAAACTTGTGTCCTGTGGGTGATGATGGCCTGGGGACAGGGCTTGGCTCTACAGCGTTCATCTGGCTGCCTTGGTGAGAGATTAGCATCCCAGGACGCTCAGAGGCAGACTGATGCTCTAGTCCATTCAGAGCACAAGTGGGACAAGCGTCTCGGAAAGCATCCCCAAGATGAGGCTAGGGAGGGAGAGGATGGCAGCAGAAGGGATGAGCCAGCCCAAAATGAGCCAGCTCTCACCTCTTGCTTGTGCAGGCTCTCCTGCAGCCTGGGAAGCAAAAGGCGTCCCAGTGGCCCTGCAATCAAAAAGCCCAGGGGGAGGGGAAGGAGGGAGCGTGTAGCAGCCCCGTGGGCAAGAGGAACCCCCATCCCAGTACCTGCAGTGGTTGCACCCTTGCACTGAGCAGGCGAACCAGCCTGGCTGTGGCTGTCAGATCCACGTGCCAGTTGCTCTCAGCCAAACTGGTGCCTCCAGCCACGCAGAGGGTCTCGCTGACCCTCCCTCAGCCTGGCGCGACAGGGCGAGGCCTCGGTCTCACCTGTGCCAGGTGTAGTTTGCGCGCAGCTCGAAGGGAGGGTGGCCAGGGCATGTGATGGGAGGCATGTGAGTCCCAGCAGCCCTGCTGGGAGCTAAAAATGGCATGTGTGCTCACTGGAGGAGCATGGCTGGCGGGGAGGAGGGGGAGGTGGTGGTGGCGGCGAGGGGGGTGTTTGGTTTTGCGGTTACTCCCTTGCTCTGTAGGAGGCTGGCCCTAGAGAGTGGGAGACAGCTGTGAAGGCTGGTGGCAAGCGTGCGCGTCCTCTGAGTGATGAGGCAGATATGGAAAGGGCTTGTGCAAGCTGCAGAACCCTCCCTGGGGTGCCCAGGAGGCAAAATGGGTCTGTGGCGGGGCTGGTGCTGGCAGAGGCGAGGTCTTGCCCTGGGTTGCCGTTCCTCTTTGTAGGACGGGGTGGGGGAGAGCCCTTTTCTCAGCCAAGGATGTGGCTCTGTCTGTCCTCGCAGCTTTGAGCTCTGGGGCTGCGTGGTGCCTCCTGCACCCTTGCTGACCCACGTGCAGCCTGCCTGGCACCCAGCTGTCCTGCCTGTGCGGGCCGCCCCCCTCCTGCGCAGGCCCTGGCTCACGCCCGAGCAGAGGACATGGCCTGTGCCACCCGCTAGGAACCCTCTGAGCTGTCCTGAGGCCAGCCCGGCCATCTCCCAGGGGAGAGGCGTACCGGCGGTCTGTCCTACCCTCGGATGGCTGTGGTACGGGACCCCATTCTCTCCTCCTGTGGACCCGAAGGTAGCTGTGGCCCATCCTGTTAAATGGAGCCCCTTTTTCTTCTGACCAGTGGCCAACTTGTGCTTGGGCAATGTGTGTTTTGGTCATACCTGCCCAGTCCTGCGCCCTGCGCGCCCTTGAGCCCATGTGGCCCCCAGACCCTCTCAGTGCCCCTGCAGCCCCCCCTCCTCACCCTAGGCAGGCCCTGCGGCCACCGGAGACAAGCGGGCGGCACCCTTGTCGCCTGCGGGGCGCGGGAACAGTCGGGGTGGAGGGCTGCCTGGTGGCATCAGTGGGAGTCGGGCAGGGTGGCGGTGGCGGCGGTGCGGAGCTCACCCCGCCTGCGCCCTGCGGACGGCGAGGCCGGGGCTGAGGGCAGGGCAGGGCGGGGGGTCTCAGCCACGTGGTGCGTGAACCCTGCGGGGACGCGGGTGCCGGGAGCTGGCAGCGGGGACGGGGGAGCGAGAGCTGGAGGAGCGGGCGTCTCCGCCGGGCCGCCCCGTCCGCGGCGGCGTAACGCCCCCGGTGCTCC